ACATTAACTTTAAGTTTGTTAAGAAAAAAATTGGGAAGTTTAAAGAATGATAAAGCTCCTAAGTCAGATAATAATTCCCCAAGGGTTTTGAAGGAGGTTAAAGATTGGATATGTGAGCCAGATGCTATTTTTTTTTATAAATCCTTTAATAGTGAGCAAGCGCCAGATGACTGGAAGTTGGTTAATGTTACTCCTCTTTTCAAGGGAGGTGATAAGAACTGTCTCAGTAATTATAGGCCTATTAGTCTTACATAAGTGGTGGGAAAAGTTTTTGTAAGTCTAATAAACAGTGCTTTGCAGAATCATTTAACAAGTTTAAAATTTTGTTGGATAGTCAGCAGGTTTTCACAAACCTTTGACATTCTTTGAATACATTACTGCTTATGAAGATGATGGTACACACATGGATTGGGTGTATCTGTATTTTCAGATAACATTTAACCAAGGTGCCACATAAAATGCTTGTTAAAAAAGTTATCTCTGTAGGTGTGGGGGGATAAGTTGGTTTACTAGATAGAAAACTGGCTGAGTGGAAGAAAGCAGAGAATTGTTATAAATGTCACAAGTGAGGTATCTCAGGACTTATTGTTAGGACCTTTGCTATTTTTGATTTACATCAATGACATAAATGAAGAAAGGGTCAATAAGTTATTTAAATTTTCTGATGATATTACAGTTTTGAATATTGCTGGAAGTGAGTAGGATACTGCTGCTTTACAAAAGGACTTGGATTATTTGGTAAATTGGGCAATAAATAACATAATATAATGTTTAGAGATAACAATGGACCTATTGGTCCATCATGGCTGTCCCATCCTCTAAACTAAACTAAAACTATTATATAAATAAATTTGAAAAAATAAAAATCTTAAAGCCAGCCCTTATAATTCATATAGTTATCAAGCTTTCTCTTAAAACTCACTTAAATGTACTGCCTCCACAACATCCAAAGGGAACCTATTCCAGAGGCAAACAATCCTAATAGAAAAATAAAACTGTCTTAGCTGAAGAT